ACGCAGCAGGCTTGTGCAGGGCCCGGGGCGTCCCTGAACACTGTGCGCACTGGACGAGCGTCCCGCCGCTGAGCTATGTGCAGTGCTTTCTGAAATCTTGAGAGAAGCCCTCACTAAGTTGTTCAGGCTGACCACAAATTTCTAATCCTCCTGCCTCAGCCTTCTGGGTAGCTGGGAGTACAGGCACGGGTCACCGTCTGGCAGGGTTTGGATTCTGACAAGTGTGTCTGTTAGGCAGCTGAAACTTTGAGCTTCTGTATTTCCTGGGACTTGGTCATCTGCAGGACCGAGCTGAGCAGATGTGTAACCAGATTGTTTTAACCTTGTGGCAAGACTGTTGCATGGTGGTGCTGTTTTGCCCAAGTAAAGAATGTCTGGTTTCTTTTGTGATGTCAACAGCTATTGATAAAAAATAGTTTCATGCATTTGCTCATGGTGGGTAGCAAAATTGTGATATATTATCAGTCCTTCTGTATTCACTGGAAAAAAATTATTTATTGTTACATCCATTTTTGTTACCGTCATTATGAGTATTCACTTTTGTCTTCAGGTGGGAAGCTCAGGGCAGGGGAGATAGCTCAGCAGTCTAAGCACCAGCCTGGTAAGCACAAGAACTCAGGTTAGATGCCCAGTACCACATGCCATGCTGGCCCCATCCCGGGCCTGCCATGCTGGCCACTGAAACTGGGCATGGTGGCACACACCTGTTATCCCAGCACTGGGGAGGCTGAGACAGGAGGATCACTATGAATCCAAGCTGTGTAGTGAGACCCTGTACCAAGTAAATAAGTAAATTTAAAACAACACATCTTTCCCAGGGGTCTGAAATCCAGGTGTGGCTCAAGTGGGTCCTCTGTTTCAGTCTCTCAAGCCCAAAATCAGCTGTTGGTCAGGGTGGCACCTCCTCTAAATGTCGAAGGACTGACCTCTAAGTCTGTGTGGCCGCTGGCAGAATCTGTCTTGTTTAGGGGCCTTCACTAACAGCGTCAGTTCCTTCCTGGCTGTAAGAGGCAGTCCCTTCCACGCTGTCCTGTTCGACATGACAGTTTTGCTTCATCAAAACATCAAAGGAAGAACATCAATTGGCAAGACAGAATTTTATAACCTAAAGATACTTTTTTTTTTTTTTTTTTAAGACAAGTTCTCATGCAGTGCAGGCTGGTCTTGAACTAGCCTATGAAGCCTAGGCGAACTCATGACAATCTTCCTGCCTCAGCCTCCAGAGTACTAGGACTGCAGATGTGCCACCATGCCCAGTGACGTCTTTATAATAATGCTATATTCTGTTGGTTAAAAGCAAGTTATTTAAAAGGCCAGGTTTATGCAAGGCCTTGGAAGGGAGGGTGACATCACTGGGGAACACTTCAGAAGCTGTCCCGGACCACCTTCCTGTGACAAGAATTCCAGATGTCAGACAGGAGGGGCTGAGAGAATGAAAATATCACAAATACATTTAAAATTTCAATTGCATTAAAGTATTCCCACACTGGCTGTGCCAATTTCCATTCCCACCAGCACAGTACACTTACATTAATTTTTAATAATGGGCGGAAAGTAGAGGTTGGATACTGATTTCCCTTGCAGTATACATTTATTTAAAATAAGTGCCTCATTTTTTTTTTTTTTTTTTAAATGTGGGATCATTTCTGAAGACAAGATACTGAATGTGTCCTGAATCTCAGAGCAGAGTCTCGGTGTGTCTTCTGCTAAGTTATCAAGGGTGACTGTCTAACCCAGGGAAGTCCTTGTTGCGGCCATGCCAATCTCCTAAGGTGCAGAAAATGATTATGAAACTCAAGGCAGGAAGAAACAGCTCCATGTAGGAGCTTCAGTCTTCCAGGGAGGAATCCTTCATACCAGGAAGCCTGCAAGCAGCACTGAGACACCTGTGCTGGTAGGATTCCCCTGGATCTTCAGGACTCCGCCAGCCATCTGCTGGGCTCTGCCACTCAACACGCTACCCATGGTGCTCCACACTGCAGCAGTCAGTTCCTGCCCTGCAGACGGATCTGCAGCCCTTGGAGAACTGAGGCCCAAGAGAACGCAGCAAGTAGAGAAGCAGCTGGGACCCTTTTCAGAAAATAGATTGATGGATCAAGATGGCAGGGGGGCAGGGAGTAGGCATAAGGAGTTGCTGGGGCGGAGGGAGGACTTCTGAGAAACTGTATTCTGTGGGATCAAGCTAAGTTATTCACATTTTGCAATTTTGTCTTTTAATTCTTTTGTAACAGGGTCTCGCTATGCAGTTCACACTCGTAGTTATCCTCCTGTCTCAGCCTCCCCAGCACTGCGATTACTGGTGTGCGCCACCATGCCCAGCTTCAGTGGCTGGCATGGCATGCGGTACCAGGGATTGAACTTGAGCCCTTGCACTCGCCAGGCAGGCACTCAGACCACAGAGCTACCCCCTCAGCCTCTCTTCGCAACTTTATATCACCCTTACAGCCCTAGACTGATCAAATGGACTACTGATTATTCTCCTCCCACCTTATAAGCCCCCAATTTTCTTCTCAGGATTTAGGTTTAATTCCTATATCTAAAGAAACCTGCTAGGTTAGTATTTGCCCATCTCCACAAAAGTGCTATGATCTTGAAGCGAACATTACTTCTGCCGTGACTGTAAGCACCCTGCGGCGTCCAGCTGCAGCACGCCAAGACCCACGAGTCTCCCGAGTGGTGGCGTCCCCAGAGCTGCGAGCAGCAGAATCTCTGGACATGGAAGTACTGCTGGCTAGAGGCAAGTCATCTTCGGCCCCATTTTATTCATTCTTTTCTTCTTTCGCCAAAATCTGGCTCCACCCAGCTCCTACTCACTTGATGAATATCCAATGTTTATCAGTTGAATGAACGAAGACACAGGCAGAACAGCTGTTTCTTCCCTCGGGAGACAAACATGTTCTTCTGTGGCCTCTTTGCTGTCACTTGGGTGGTCTGTTTAATCAGCACTCAAGAGACCTGACCGTGCGCCCAACCGTGATAAACGGAGAGATGATTTGAGTGTCTGAGCTGCAGCGTTCCGTCCCTTTGTCGTACAGTCCATGGCACAGTCACTCTGTGCAGGTCTAGCCCGTGCAGCTCCAGGTCCTCAGGGCCTTTCTCACCTTAGGATTCTAAGACACTCCCCTAAAGGAAGGAGCAAAGAACTGCACATGACCATCAAAGGAAGGAAATAAGGCAAGACTCTTCCTGGTGAGGTCGCCAGCCAGAGTGGCATCTCAGCTGAATGCAAGGTGGACCTCAGGCACGGGCTGATCCCCGAACCTGCTGACGAGTCGCTAGCACCTTCAGGCTTCGTGAGGGCAAGGGTCCTGCTGCGCTTCCCAGATAGGACCGGTCAGCCAAGGGCTCTTCGCTCAGTGCAGGCGGCTGCCGGGTAGTGTTGGTGGCCCTCCACGCTGCTCGAGCAGGTGGCCCCCAGCAGCCTCAGGACCTCCCAGCCCCCACAGGGAGTGGCTCCTGGCTGCTCCTTGCTGATCTCCTCTACTTCTCCTGCCAGCTGTCTCCCCATGTTGCCAGGATCACTTGAAGGCTGTTCCACGCTATGGCCGGTCACCTTCCGCAGCTCCGGCCTGGAGCCTGTACTTCTGTCACACTGCCCGCTCCTTGCCCACCTACTGGACTCTCTTCTCTAGTGTTTCCCATGTCCACTTAGGCCTCGTATATGCAATACACTCTTTCCCAGCCATATTTTTTTACTTAAATGCCCAGGCCTCTAACCCATAACCTTTTACTTACTGCTAATTCTCTAGCAGGACGGGAAGGGCACACGAGCTACCTGACCTCTCACCCTTGAGCTTTATTCCTGGGCTGACCAATCCTAGATCTTGCCTGTATATAGATTCTTGCACCAGTAGTAAACCTGTTTTACTTCCAAACACAGTTCTGCATTTCAAAAACCTAACTATAAATGCCTTCATTGTATCTGCTCTTAATGCCTTTTTTTCCCTTCGTGAGACTATATTGTATCATCTACTGCCTCTCTAACCAATGGCCTACCTCTTTTTTAAGCATGAGTTGGGGAGAAAAGATTCACCAGTAAACCATTTCCATATTTTTAAAAATGGTTTTTGGGGATCACTTCCACAGACTCAACAGCTTTTACTGGCTTAAAGCAATGTGTTTTTGGGCTTTAGTTCAGTGACTGTTCATCCTGGTAACTGGTCTCAGTTACTAACTTAAGCAGGGATATGGCCCAGGTAGCCATCACACACGAGAGTGGGGAATATTTGTAAATTCTAAAAACTTAAATTTCAGTGTTAAGGGATCAACTACACTCTCCAGCATCCAGGCACCACTAACCAGGGCCAACTCTGAGGAGACTGGCAGGCCCTCCTCTGTCTGTAGATGTCTACAGGAGTGCCTCTTCTCCAGCATCAGAGGCTCTGGGCAAAGGTGTATGGCAACCCCTCAATCACAGTCCAGCGCTTCCTAAGTCTAAGAGAATCTACCCAAAAAGACCAAAACAAAAAAAACCACCACTATTTGGTAGTGTAATACATTAGTGGATGAACTGGTAATAGGAAAATGAACTGAATTCTTACACCGGAGTGCATCTATTAGAGTGACAGCTGTCTTCGCTCCAGTTATTTTACTGCTACCAGTAGTCAGACGTCACTAAGTCTGTGTACTTTGCCTGACACTGGGAACAGAGCCTGCACGTGCAGTCTTCTACCACCTCGCTACCCCCACACCCTGCCTGATAGTTTTAGATGTTGCCATGTCTTCACATCTCTTGCCACAAATTACTGTGTCCCCCTCATGGTTGCTACATCTTGAATAAGGTTATCATAAAAGTGCACTCAGAAGATGCAGCTACGTACGTGGACAGCTACGACTCCCATCAAGTTGCAGTGCGCTCTCAGTAGTCTACGTAGTATGTGCATGGCAACCACCGAGCTCCCATCCTGGTTACATGCGAGTCCCCGTAAGTTCATCTAGTAATGGACATACCCTGAACAGCAGCTACCATGGAAGGCAGTTTGAGAGCACTATATAAGTACGTGAAGGATCACAGTGTTTAGTTCGTGGAGGACCAAGGCAGACAGCGACCGTCAGCCTCAACTTCCTCCTTGGGTGACGTGAACCTGGGTGCCACATCCACTGTTACCCTTTTGAGTCAAGTTAGAATCTTTTCGGTTTCCAACTCAGTCACATCAGGCCACGGCTTTACTTCAGTGTTCAAAAGCGCTGCTTCACGGTTAGTTTTGCCTTTACAGCACTCTCCCTTGAGATCGGGGCCTAGCCCTGCTCACACACCATCTGATCCAGCTTTAACGTAGAGCTCTTCAGCCCCCGCGTACCGCTTTCTTGGGACAGGGTCTCACTATGGAGCCCAGACTGGCCTCAAACTTCCAGCGATCCTGTGTGAGCCGTAAGTGCATCCTTTGCAGCAAAAACGCTTTACTCAGAACTAGTATCTTATTGCTAGTGGCAGCCAGATGTCACTAAATCTCTACTGTTTGGATTACAGGTGTGCACTACCACATGTGGCTTACTTCCTCAGTTTTAGCTCCTAAGTAATAGCTCTACTTTGGACTGTGCACTCAGTGCCATCCCTGGTTACTATATATTGTCCATTTTACAATGGCACTTGATGGAGAAAAAGGGGAGGGCAGGATTTCATTCTTTTAATGCTCAAATATAATTCAAAATTTCCCACATCTGCCACAAAATTGAGACACAGAAAGGTTCCAGTGGAATTGAACATTTTCAGGTATTTTTTAGCATTACTTGAAATTCTATATAAACGTCTGGTTAAAAAAATAGTACTTATCATTACACTATGTACATCAGATCTGCTTTGGTAGTGCTACTCTCTAATTCTCTGGCTTGTTACTGCCTGCAGCTTGCGGATCCGCCTTAATCTGACACAGGAGCACTGTGTCCCAGGTAGCACTGCGCAACCCGTTTTCGGAAGTCCAGGAGCTCTAGCGAGGAGCTAGGGTGAGACAGTCTGTGCAGATGCCATGCGTTGCTCATGGCCGCGTCTATCATGTAGCTCACCAAAGTGGAGTACCACTTCCTGCTTCTTAACGTCACTCTGTATTTGGAGATGCTCTGATCCATCTTGGATACTCCTTTCCTGCACTCCTCATATAGTCTCACGATGGCTGGCTGGCTGAGCGGAAGGAGCTCGTCTTCACCAGCAGAACCTCTGACTTCACTAAGCGGTTCTATGCCCACAGCAGTGGAGCACAGACTGCTAATTCCGTCACTGTGCCAACGACACACAATTATCTCATCAGTTTCTTCTACTCGGAAATCAAAACATCCCTTTTTCATTTGTTCTGCACTAAGAAGTGGACATTTTTCAGTCCTGTTTTCACGAATGGATCCAGTCGCCCTCAACCCTTTCTTCTTCAAAGCTGACATCAATTTCACACTTGTGAAGAAGCTGTCAAAACACAGGTGGTAGGGATACTGGCCTTTCTCTAACAGAACATCAGCGAAGGTCATCACTAGATTGCCACCTAACCCAAGGTCAAGATCCCCATCGGCCTCCAACGTGGACTCTTCTTGATAGGGCTCGAACCAAACCAGATAACCGTGTATGGTTGTACCACACCAGATTTTATAGCCAATTCTAAGAGGCTTTCCATTCAGGAACTGGTTGGTGTCAAAGCACTCACACATTGATTTACCAAAGCAGTAATGTTCTTCTAGGGGAGCATACAAGAGGAAATTTTTATTCATTTGTTTTATGAGCGGTCTCAATTTTGAGAATTTATCCTTTTGATCTAGGTGATTATTATCTGCAAAATGCAGGTATGAAAGAATCAATTCAAATCTTTCTCTTCTAATTGCATCTCTAACCACGTTCTGATCAGCATCAGAGATCTCCCAATACATCCCCCTCCTGGGACACTTTACAAATCCACTCCAAAGCAGGATACCAAATACACATCTCATTTCATGAACGGTGACTTCCAAATTGACACTTTTTTGAGAAGCATAATTATTTGTTTCATTAACAATCAGGTTGAATGTCTCATCATCAAAAAATAATTCAAAGAGCTCTACTGGGTTCAACTTTTCACTCTTGAGGTTCAGAAGTCCGAAATCCAGGGCTGACCAGTGTGGAAAACTGGGACTGAGGTCTCTTTTCGTCCACCTCTCCTTTGGCATGCCTGCCACCTTGACCTTCTTCTGCGCAGGCTGTTCGTCAGGCTCCTTATCTTCCTCTGCGTCTGAGTCATCAGAAAATGCGAGGCCCTGGAGCAGCTCACTCACCCGAGCTCTATCTTTTTTCCTTCCTTTGCGAGTGATGTCTCCTGCTGCATACTGCACGGACGCGATGTGCATCTGGGCCCACAAGTCCCGGGGTGGGGGGCGATCTGCAGGATTCAAAACTGTCTTCTCAGGAAGTACAGCAGTACTACCGGGGTTGCGGGGCACACACTCTCTGGGAAAGAAAAAACAACATGCTACAGAAACTCCAAACTGCATTCCCCTCCCCAAGACAAATGTGAACTGTGTGTAGGAGGGAGGGTAATTCTTCCATGCGAAGATGGGCTGTACCTCTTTTCTGGCTCTCTACCTCTCACTCACTTCTCATGTTCCAGCTAACTGTTGAATCTGGGAGAATCAACCAGGCTTCCCGAGCACAGCCCTCCCTGTCCTCTTTAGGAGTGGGATGCTCTTGCTTGCCCAGTGCATGGGCAAACTGCAGCAGGCGACAGCTGCACGCCTTGGCCACTGTGAGCTTATCTGGCTCTGCCCCGGCCCCTGAACTGCTTCATCCAGTCAAGCTAGTGTCAACAGGAAGATGAACTTCCAGAACCTTCTATTTTTCTCTGGTGTCCCTACCAATTGGTTCTTAGATGAGGGAGATTGTTATGTACAAGTTCTCCTCATATCTATCACAGATTTTCTTTTCCTTTTTTGTAGTACTGGGGATTGAACTCAGGACCTTGCACTTCCCAGGCAAGTGCTTATTCTACTGAGCTATCTCCCCAGCTAAATCCCAATCACAGATTTTTCTGGATATGGAAGGACTTTCACAAAGTACATACAGTTTAAGACCAAATCCTGTTCATTTCATCAGGCTACCCTGCCTCATAGCTAAGGGCCTCTGGAAAAGCACCAATTCATCAATTACCATTTCTCTGCTTGGAGTTCATACAGTTGAAAACATAAGAAAAGTTGGAGGGCCGGAGAGATAGCTGAGTGGCATAAATGCCAGCCTGGCAAGTAAAAGGTCCTGAGTTCAATGCCCTGCACCACAAAAAAACAAACAAACAAACAAAAAAAACTGAGAAAGTTGAACATGTTTGATCTTCTGCAATGAAATATGAGCCTTTTACTGACCAGCAGATATGGAAGAATTATTGAAAAAATACCGGTACTGAAGCAAATGTAAAAATCTTTGGCCAGGCATAATTTGTCTGAGGTCAGACATATTCAAAAGAGGTTGTTGACCAAAACATTTCTTGCTCAGGTTTCTGCACAATAACTTGCAGTAATATTGCAAAAAAGACGCTCAATGTGTCATTGTCAGTGGCTTCCTGTTTATCCAGTGCAAAATCCTTTGCAGCCAGGGGGCTTTGTAGCCAACATGGCATTTGTTTCCCTGGTGACTTTTGAAACTAATTCCTCAGTGAAGAACGACTCTAAATATTGCAGCAGGTTAGAGGTGTCTGGTGTCAGCCTTTCCACAGGTGTGCTGATAAAGTCATGCCTCTGACTTGGAAATATAACGTGAGCTGACAGTTTCTGAGCATAACCCAGGCAGCTGACGGGGTTACGGCCATCCGACTCTGAGCTGGACAGGGGCTGGACCACAGCATCTTCTGAAGCACCATCCAAAGATTTGTCAGAATCCTCTATTTTTGCAGGGTCATGAGTTCAATCCAAAGTACCACAAAAAATAAAAGAATCATCTACTTTGGAAACATTAGATTCATCAAATGAATCCTGGGCTAACCACTGCTTAAGAGCAATGTCAACATCACACTTCTAGAAATGCTACACTTTTTTGACTTTTTTGGCAATCAAGAATTAGTGGGCCGGGGAGATGGCTCAGTAGAATAAGTGCTTGCCTGGCAAGTGCAAGGGCCTGAGTTCAATCCCCAGTTCCGCCAAAAAAAAAAAAAAAAAGAATTAGTAAATTTTCTAAGTAGAAATATCACTACTAAAATCGGAATGCTATAAACAGAATAATGTGTTTTGTTCCTCAAGACTATCCATCCATATATTAAAGTGATGCAAAAATAATAAAAAAGCAAAGTATCGGAGAGTAATCTTTGGGGTAGGGTTGGACCTGTAATCCACACATCATCTCATGACCGCAAGTGCTGCTGGGAACATTCTGCGGTGAGTAGAAATTGTCTTAAGCCTGACATGGTAGAGGAAGGATGTGGAGGTGGAAAAGGACAATGTACGGAAGTGGATGGGGAAGGGCCTAGAGGAGGCGTGGAACCGAGGCAGCTGCACCAGGCACTTCTTATGTGCAATAGCAAGGTAAGTTTTCCTTATTATTACTATTTAGTTATAGTGGATCTGAACCCAGGCCTCAGATGTGCTAGGTAAGCACTCGAGCACACAACTGTATTTCTAGTCCCTTTCAATGTATTTGTAAAAAAAATAAATAAATGTATTTGTATTTATTTTTTGTGGTCCTGAGCTACAAACCCACCCTCCTCCTTTTTAAAGACAGGGTCTGCCCACGGAGTCTAGCCTGGCCTTGAAGTCACCAGAGACAAAGCCAGCACACATGCCAGCCTTCAAGACAAGGTCCTTCCATGTCTCTAAACTGAGCTACAACTTGCAGCCTCACACCTCCGCCTCCTGAGTGTGGCCATGCCCAGCGTGGCACCTTTTCCCTGCAGCACAGAGTCGTGGCTTCAGTTCCACGTCCAGTGTCCACTTGCAGCCCTGTACTTGACAGTGGAATGTGGCTCTGTGCTTACTACCTGAATGAAAAATTTCCATTTTCTTGGTAAGCTCCAGAGACTTCCATTTTAGGGACTGGTGGTACAGCTCAGTGGTAGAGCGCATGGTGAGGCCCTGGGTTCAGTTCCTAAAACCAAAATGAGTGAATGATTTAGCTTCCTGTTTCCCTAAGGTGAACAAACACTAACGAGGAAAGTCACTTCCTCACCCCACTGCGGCCTGCCCGGAAGGCTGATCACACGTGCTGTTCTCTGTCCCCCTTTCTCAAGGATGAGAAGTTAGTGGCCCCCCGAGCAAGCGGGCCCTCGGCCTGTGACTTGGTCCTGCCCGCTCCCTCTGGGTGTCTGGCTAACACTTGGCTTTTCCCACAACCACCCACAGGGTCCCTACTGCTGCCATTTCCCATCAGCTTCTTTCCTTTTGCTCTTTTCTCTGCTTGAATCGCCTAGCAGAGTTTGAAAGTTACCCGCACTTGTGCTTCCCAAGCCCTCTTCCTGCGTTCATCTTTCCTTCTTCACTATCAAAGCAGCTTCTCCTGCAGCCTTTGCTGTCACCTAAGTTCTCTGCATTCCGGCTTCTCCATCTAGGTCTCCATGAAAACGTAAGGAAGCACAAGGCCCAGTGACCGAGCAGGACAGCGTTGGGTTCTGGAGGACACTGGGTGCCACTGTGATCTGTGCCACTGTCCAGGACTGAGAGGCCGTCTCGGCGCGGGCCTCCGTGTGGGCACAGTGGGGGCCACACTCTCTCTCGTTTTCTGCAGTCTGATTTCTTCTACAGGAATGGGCTACGTAGGGCCACAGCCACTCACCTGCTAGATCCTCCTGAGGTCTTGACATCTTGTCCTATTTCTTCACAGGTATCTTGGTCTACATTAAAGAAACCACCATTATTACTTTTCCTAAAATGACACATTAACTATGTATCTAACAGCTGGTCCAGGGACGTAGAAAAACAATCTCTGGGGTGGTGAAACGACATGTGGGATGCAGTCTCAGCCCTCCTGTGGAATGTGCAGGGCGGGGCCATGGGCCAGCTGGGCAACGGCACCTCCTCCGAGGGACAGAGGGGGCCAGGCAGAGCATTCACACAGCTCGCAAAATAAAGGGATACCAACAATAGCAAGTCACCTAGAAATCTCTTTTTTTTTTTTTTGCAGAACCGGGGATTGAACTCAGACCCTTGCACTTGCCAGGAAAGTGCTTATTCTACTGAGCCATCTCCCCGACCCTCACCTAGCAATGTTGATGGCTAAGAAAGAAAAGGAGTCAAAGGAAAGGACATTCACTCCAAGGGGAAGCAAGAGGCCCTGGAGATCACAGGCAGAAGTAACTTAGGCATTTAGTGCCAGAAGATCACCAAGGGGACAAATGGCAAGGGCCCACAGGAAGGAGCGGGAGGGCACTCCCAGGAGGGGCTGTCCTTACCCAGCAAGCCTGTCGCCACTTCCTGATCCGCATCCTCCCTTGGGTTCCTGGGAGCCAGGCTCCAATGTGGCCACGCCCTCGGTGCAGAGGCCCGGTCGGGCTCTTCCCCTGCCTTCACCTTCAAGGCCACCTGAAAGGAAAGTACGGCTGCTTCTTTTCACAGTGCAGGGATACAAGTCCAGCTATAAAGGGCACGGAGTATCACACGATGAACAATCACTGTGGGCACACACAGCACTCGAGTCTGGAAACCTTTCAGTATATCGATGATGTTTAGGACCAGCTTGCCCAATGCCACCACAGGAGGCCATATTCAGGGCCAGGGCCAGTCCTACGCTACAGCCAACAGTGTAGTGTCCTACGTGATTTTCACATAGCCTGCAGAATCAAACCCACAGCCAGCATAAATCAGCTGCAATGAAGGATAAGAATCCTGAAGAGTTTTATGGGATGACCCTGGACAAACAGTAATTTAGGGGTTTCAGAGAAACAAGCTCCAATGGAGTAAACCTGCTGTCACAGGAGCTGACTCACTCGAGCTGTCCTTCTCACTGTCTTAAAAGCACTTTGTCCTGCGGTTCAAGAATATCCAAGACAGTATCTCAGGCCCGACAAAATAGTGGTTCAATCCCTGGGGCCTGCTGCGCCGGCCCAGCCCCCGTGGCGCACTGAGCCGGCAACTGAGCCTGGGTGTGGTGGCACTCCTGGGAGACTGTAAACAGGCGGATCACTACCAGTCCGATCTAGTAGTGAGACCCCGAAAACCCTGTAGACCCTTCTCTAAAATACAGAAAAAAAGAAAGAAAAAGACAGTATCTCACTCACTGTAAATGCAACTTAACTGACTTCAAATACATAATGCTGGAGTCTGGAGAGGCCTTTTAACACAGTGAGAACTTACCTCAAGTTCTGAAATCTCATGAATTTTACTAATAGAGATTACTTAAATTTTTTCAAAGCCAGCAATGATACATGTCAGGAAACTTGTACTCTGTAATTATTTGTTTTGGGAGTTACCTACGTTTTCATATTTTTAGTTTCATCTAATGTTGCCCCAGAAGGCCTACCACACGGGTTCTTACTTAACCTCTTGCTTTTGTTTCATTTCTCAATCTACCCTTTCTTTTCAGTGACTGAAAAGAATACAGTGTCCAGCCTTCCCATACTGGATGACTGCTGTGACAAGGAAGAGGTTTTCCAAGCACACGATGTTTGCTCTTTACCTTATCACTACCTTATTCTGAACTGTAAAAAATTACTTTGATACTAAAAAGCCTACCTCCCAGAAACACGAGCATCCCTCCCCGTGATCATATCATTTGTGGCCTGCCCTGGAACCTACAGTGCTTCCTAGGGCCTGGTAACCAGCAGACATGCGAGCTTACAACAGCAGAAGGGTAGCCTCTGCCGAGGCATCCGCAGGGCGCTGCCCTCGGACATCTCCTGGGGCGGCTCCTCCTCGCCCTTCTCAGCTTCCGGGGCTTCCTGTCCACGCCAGAGGCTGAGGCCCATGGAAGCGTCATGCAGACCTTGGTCTGGCTGTCCCATCAGCTCTCCCTTCCTCCTGCCTGGCCGTCACAGAACTGCAGCAGTCACTGGACTGAAGAGCCATCCTGTCTGGTATGACCTCACCTCTCATTAGGACATCCACAGAGAGACAAATTTCCAGTCGGGCCCCTCATGGGTACCTGGGCTCAGGACTTCGGGGGCACATAATTCAATCTGCATCTTAGCCTTACTTCAATATAGGTCATTTTCTTCTTTCTGTCTGGTCTTTTAGTATTCGACCTAGTATTAGTTTTCATCCACTACCCACTTACACCTCCACCCTTTGATCTTCCTGGACTTCTGATGTTATTCTTAGTTCAAACTCACTAATCGTGCATCAGGGCAGCGTCTCAGCCCTCTGCTGCTTCCATGGGTATAGTCATATCCAGGTATTCCACTTATGAAATACACACTTGTAAGAATAGGCCACCCTCTTTTGCTTTTGGTACATTACATTTAAGGCAATGAGTTTGACATATAAAATGTGGATAGGTGCGTTTCACTACAGCTGCTTGTTTGTTCTGCTACCAGGAATCGACTCAGGAGCCTGCACTTGCCAGGTAGGCACCGTGCCACTGAGCTACACCCCAGCCCTTAGAAGTAGGTTTTATTTTGTGTGTTTCTTTTTAAAAGGAAAAGTACTTATTAAGAGCAGGAGTCCTAAGGTCCACTGGGGGTAAGACTCAGGAGGCACGGAGGGACTGAGGAGGGGTCTTGAGGACGCTAGCCTGGGCCAGCTGTGCAGTAGTGATGTGCACCCAACTCAGAGGAGAAAGAATTTATTTTCTGCAGTGCTGTGAACAGAAACCAGATCCTCATGCAAGGCAGGTAGGGGCTCCACTTCTGAGCCCCAATTAAAAAAAAATCCAACCAGAAAAACTAATGAACCACTAATAGAATATGGAAGAAAAAGGTGTCAATTTTTAAAGAACCCATGGAAGTCTGTTTGGGATGTACAGAACTTGCCCAAATATTACATGACATGTGCTGAGCCCAGAATATAAAGGAGGGTGACAACAGGCCCAGGTCCTCAGGCTAGAGACAGAAACCAGCAATTCCAAGAAAAAATCCTCAGTCGTTCCGCAGCAAGTGAAGAAGGCAAGGGCCTCAGCCCAAGGGCCCGCTGCACCCTGCACTCTCACTCCTAGGTCTAGAGGCGAGAGGAGGGAACAGGACCAACCAGAGCTCCCTGGGACGTTCTGCAGCAGCGACACACAGGACATGGGCACCGAGCAGGCTCTCAGCTGTGGATAAGAGCAAAGGAAGGCGGGTGCAGTGACATCCCACGACCTGTCGGCACTCACCTGGGTCTGGGGTGGGCTACACTCAGCCCCAGCTGCCCTCCTCTCTCTGGAGCGTTCTTCCTGGAGAAGAGCTGGTCCCACGGGAGCAAAGCCTGGAAGAGTTTAGAGCCCAAGTGAGACATGGCAGGCTGTGGAAGTGGCCCACACCCTGGGTTGGTTCAGTCCCTAAATTAAGATGCAGATCCCGTTGTCTGAGATAATAGTACTACAACTCTTTTGTGCTACCAAGAACTAAAAAGATTCTAAAATTTTAGGGTTTCCTGCTCATAAAGCTGAGTGGCATTTATGAACTAGTGATGCATTTTTTACATAAAGAAAAGCAAGCCACAGGTGTAAATAAAGAGGGGGAGATGCTGGTGATGTGTGTGCACTGCTCTGGGGAGCACAGCACGAAATCCACGGCAGCTTCCTCTGGACCACTCGGACCTTAACGGATGCTGGTGAAGGGCATACACCTGAAGTTCAACAAAATACGTTCTCGAGAGCAAATACACGTCATGGTGACTACAGTTAATACATAGCAAGCCAGGCATGGTGGTGCACACCTGCAATGCCAGCACTCAGGAGGCTGAGGCAGGAGGATCGCTGCAAGTTCTGGGCCAGCCTGAACTACACAGTAAGATCTTGTCTCAAAAAAGAAAAAAAAAAGAGATGTATTGATCTATTGTGTATCTGAATTTTTTTTTTTTTTTCTTAAGAGGAGGTCTCTGGGGCCTACAGGCCTTGGACTCCTGGGTCCAAGCGTTGCATCCTTGTACTTCAGCCCTTTTGAAAGCTGGGACGATGGGTGTGGTACTACCCCAGCTTCACACTCTCACCTTGCTGAGTGTGAATGTCAAGTATGTAAACATGTAACTGAGGTGCCAGATGACGTTCAGCAGCTGGTGAGAGCATCTGAGTGTACATAAGCCTGAGAAACACAACTTGCGGGCACGGCTAGCCAGGTGTCTACCGAGAAGCGAGCTGGCTCTCACCGGCACGCCTGTGGGACTCACCGCTCACTTCCTGGGCCAGCTGTGGAGGTTCACTTGGCAGCGTGGATACGCCGGGCGGGAGCTGGAGGCCCTGCCTCTCCAAAGGGGCTCCCTGACAGTCTGTCACCACTAGGTGCACATTCTGACCCTGAATGTAGAGAGAGGCCTGGAGACAAAAACATTCACCCTGAAAAGGCATCCTGGTGGGAACCAGAGCAAACAGCAGTTAGGGACATCCCTGCGGGAACACACAGCAGCCCCGTCCCGTCCTCCAGTGAGGCAGGAACACATGGGCACACTCACTCATTCACCGGGCAGGGGAGGCTTGAATCTGGGCAGGGGCAGGTCCCATGCTACAGCAGGACAGGTCCCTGCCCAGGGCGCACACACAGCCCGCACGACACCTGCCAAAGCGGGCAGAGGTTTAGTGAGGTTTGGAGCTTCCCGCAGCGTGTGCAGTAGTCCAAGGGGGGACATAGCTTCCTCACAAGGCAGGGCTACAGGCCCTTGTCAGGAAGGTTCCCGAGAACACAGCAGCACCTGTGTGAAGGACGTGCTCATCACCATGTACAAGGCGGGCCTAGCTGGGAGACGATGGCAACCAAAGGTGACGCCAGCAACCAAAGGTGACGCCGACACAGCTCCAGAAAACAAGGAAATAGTGCCCCAAAGAACAGCGATGGGCTAATACAGCAAAATGTGCACAGAGCTAAGGTTGGATGACAGCATCATGATAGTTGAATGTCCTGAGACTATGTAACTGTATTTTGGTTTCATAAGACAATGCCTTTGTTCTTCACACATAAACACCTAAGTGTTTAAAGATAAAAGGAGAGTGTTTGCAGTTAATTTTGTTTTTTTTTAATATTTATTTATTTTTATTTATTACATTTATTTATTGTGTGTGTGTGTGGCCAGCTCAGCCCACCAGGGGGCGGGGCTGGCTGGCATGTGGTGCTGGAGGATCGAACCGAGGTCCCTGTGCTTTGCCAAGCTTGTTTCAAGTAGGTGCTTTAGACCACTGAGCCATCTCTCCAGCCCTTCAGTTAATTTTGAAATGGTTCATACACATACGCACACAGAAAGGCCTTGTTTGCACAACGGCACTGGGCATGGCACGCCCAAAACAAGCGTTAACACCATCAAATCTGGCTGAAGTGTACACACAAGTTCCATGTACCTTTCTCCCAACACATGCATAACTTACACATTACTTCAAAATAAAAAGTTAGAGATTACGAGTCCCACATCCTTCACTTCTTTTCCCACCACCCCATCCCTTACCTGCTGTCCTGTGTGGGCAGGTCCGGCTGCCAGGTTCTCTAGCACTGTCACGGCTTCCTCTCCACTCTGCAGAGGATACATCTGCACCCAGGCCTGCAGCTCCCCGGGCAGGATGGCCAGGAACTGCTCCAGCACCAGCAGCTCCACGATCTGCTCCTTGCTGCGGGTCTCGGGCCGCAGCCACTGGCGGCAGAGCTCGTGGAGCTGAGTTAAAGCCTCGCGAGGCCCGGGGGCCTGTTGGTAGCAGAACTGCCGGAACTGCAGACGGCAGAGTTCCTGCAAACGGGAGCTGTGCTCCTGGGAGGCATTAGCCTGCTCCCAGGTAGGGTCTTCGACCTTCACTTTCAGGAGGCTGTCTTCATTTTCAGGAGTGGAGCCTGGTAACGCTTCATACATGTTGAGCTTAGAAGCTAGAGAAAGGGTCACTTGGTTGATTGAGGTCTGTACTTCAGAAACATTTTCCAAGTGTGCTTCTACAGCCCAAGAATTGATTCATAATGTGCCAAGCAGAGCTCCAAAGCCCTGTGTGATATGTTTGTCCCCTGCACAGGTCATACTAAAACCATAAACCCAAGTAATCAGAGGTAGATCAGGAACATAAAGGGGCTACACCTGGAAGTAAGGCAGGTAGGACATGCGGGAAGAAGGGTAAGAGTGCAGAGGCACTGGGTCCCCCACGCTTGGGAGGCTGAAGCACAAGGGTTGGCACAAGCTTGAGGCCAGCCTAGGATACATACTGAGTTTAAGGCCTGTATGAGCTACATGGTGAGACCCTGTCTGGAAAAAAAAAAAAGAAAGAAAGAAAAGGATGCTTATGCAGCTGGGAAGGAGGGATAATTTTACCCAGAGAGGAGCCAGATGCCTGCCTCTAATGTAGGTGTAGCAGACTGTTTCCAAAGTCTTCTATCCCCAAAGTCTTTACACTGACACTAAGCCACTCTTCCAGCAGGAGGTATTTATTATCTGCTTTTTCTTGCCTTGAGTCTGCACGCATTGAGTTTGCTTAGGAGGGACTGGGCCTGAGACAGCTGGACAACCAGCCGTACGGACCAAAGTAAAAACCAGAACAGACAGTGAACATGGACTCTGGACCAAGGGCGAACTTCCTCAGGCAGCCTGGAGAGCAGCCCACGCCTTGCTAAAGGGGGTGCAGCCACTCGGTACTAAGCTCCTGAGTTCTGAGAAACAAGATGCAGAACAACAGGTATTTTTCCCTCTAAAATCCTGGTTTCCCTTAAGCTCTGTATGCTGAGGAAGCGGGTTAGAAGCCCAAGTTCCAAATGGTCATTGTGAGGGTGGCCACTAAAGACCGCGAACAGTCCCCCACTCTGCTCACCTGGCCATCCGCTTCAGACTCCCTCCCTCCCGGCAGCCCAGGAGCTGTTCTTACTTCCAGTAAAGCTTTCCTACCCTCCTTTGGTTCTTGACTTCATTCTGAGGTAGGACAGAAGAAGTAAGTCTGGCAGAAAGTAATCAAGGAAATCATAAAAACTGTAAAAATGGAGCACACTTGTGGCATTTCCTGTCCAGAATACACCACTATCTCACTCCTCTCCAAATCACTAAGACCAAAACTAAGAACAAGACCATGATTTGATGGAAATCCATAGACTTCTACCTCCTAAAACCATGAACTCTCCGCAGCTCCCAGCTGCGCCGCCCTGGGCACGGTGAGCGTCCCAGCCTTCTCAGGCCTCTTCCACAGATGCGTCCTGAAAATGCTTTTTCCAAGACAGGAGCCAGCGAATCTGCAAACTTATTTTAGAGGGGTGAGCTAAGCTCTTTATTTCTGTCTTGGAGACGCTCAGACCCTGCCTGTGACAAGCGACAATTCCTGGGTGTTGTGTGACCTCCAACTCTGCCCAGCTGACATCTAACACACTGGGAGTTACCTTCCAGCCCATGTACTTCTTGCCCGGGGCTCCGAGGAAATCACCACACCTCCTGAGGACAGAAAAGTGTCCTATGTTGACGGCTGGGCTGTGGCAGCTGAGAAACTCCCCTCGCAAAGTTTTAAATACTCCTTGAATTAAAATCAAACTTCCCGAGGCCCGCTCTTTCCAGGGCGGTCCTGGTCTGTCACTCAATCTACTGCGTTCCTCATTATTATCCAGGTCTAAAGCTAGATCTGCAACAAAAGACATGGTCCTCCCCTTTAAGAAAACCACGGTTTTACGAAATTTCTCGTGCCATTGCCATTTTGGGGGGACGTTTTGGCATGCTTGGCGACTACTCAAATCTCTTCCACCCAAGTTTTTCATGGTCCGGAACATCCTAATGCTAATTTCCAACCTCAGCGCGAAGCCACGTGCTTCGTCTTGGATATCGCCGCTGCCTGACGTCCACGGAGGGACGCCGCGTACCTCTCGCTCTCCGCCCGCCCGCAATGCAATGCGGACCTCTGTCCCCACCCCCGTGTCCCGTGTCCCGCAGCCAGGGGCTTTCCCGGACTCCCGCCAGCCGTACCTCGTACTCTGCAAACACTGTTCGAGGGCTCGGTTCCTGAGCGAAGCGCTAGGGCCCGGGACTCACACCCCAGGGACCTCTTGCCCGGAGCTCGGAGCAAGGGGCACTTCCGGCGGGCAGCGGCTGCAGAGGCACTTCCGGTAGCCAGGCCCGGCGCACAGGGCACTTCCGGCGGGCAGCGGCCGCAGAGGCACTTCCGGTAGCCAGGCCCGGCGCACAGAGCACTTCCGGTAGCCAGGCCCGGCGCACAGAGCACGTCCGGCGGCAGCGCCGACGCCGACGTCTTTCCTTCGGACAGCTCTCCAGCTCCGCGGGGGGCTTCCGGCCGACTTGCGCCTCTGTGGTTGCAGGGCCTTTGTCTCTGGCCGGCACACGCACGTTTCTCAAATCTTTTCCGTTAAAAACTAGCGGGATGGGGAAGACAAAGATGAATCTGCTATGGTTCTCACGGGCTGGAGTAAGAGTTAAAGAGATAATTAAAATAAAGGAAACGGAGTAAATAGGGTAAAACAGCATAATAACATTTAATAGATACATTAGCCAGTAAGTATGGCTCTATGTGTATTAAACCAGCTGGGGATCGTAACAGACACGGGAAATCACATAGGACCTCCAAATAAGATAAAAAGGAAGTACAACACCCAACCTAGTGATGGTTGATATGCCAAGTTCGTGTTCCCCCAAATCAATTAATTTTAAGGACAAGGGAGGTCAAAAGTTAAGAAATATTTATCGAGGGCTGGTGAGATGGCTCAGTGGTCTAAAGCACCTACTTAAAACAAGCTTAGCAAAGCACAGGGACCGCGCTTCAATCCCCCAGCACCACATGCCAGCCAGCCCCCTCCCCTGGTGGGCTGAGCAGGCCACACACACACACACACACACACACACACAAATAAATAAAAAAATAAGTTAAAAAAAAGAAATATTTATCAAGAGGGAGATAAACAGCTTCTGAGAGGTAGGAAAGACCCCAAGTGGCTTGCTGCTGACCCCACTTCTTGGGAAGTCCCCCCAACCAGGGGAAGTGTTACAAAGCCACGTGGGCACAACTTGGGTTACAGCTATACTCAACCAATAAGATTCTAAGTATGGTTGGTAACAGTAATCCAACGAGGAAGCAAGTCAGGCAGCTCATATACATAGAAGGAACATAGAACTTAGCAGGAAGAGACTGGTCAGAGGATGGGGGTCACCCACTGAAGTGACTGACATCTATATAGACTTCATAGCTGTTACCACTTATCTCAGGTCTGATCATTGTCTTTGAGACTTGTCCTCCAGTACATGCACTTCCAGCCGTAGCTGTGACTTTTTTCATCCTAAATGTTTTTTTTTTTTTTGTATTTTCATATACCAACTTTCTCTAAAGCGCTAGAGTATTGGATTGTGCTGGAGTATGACAATGCTTGACCACCCTACCGAGGTGCCTTTCTTGTTATCCCTCCCAACCCCCGTACTGGGACCTGAACCAGGGCCTCCACACAACCCCGGCCACCCCTTGTGAGCAAGGTCTAGGTGAAGCTGGTGAAGCTGAAACTCTGCCTCAGCTTCCTAGAGTGTCACGGTTCTAGCACATGGCACTAAGGGTGGCTTTCTTAAAGTAATATTGTAGGGAACCCCATTCACTATCTACATTGTTTGATATTGCATTTTAAATCAAATTCATGTATTTAAAATTTGATAGCTTCCTATTTACAGTATTTCTAAAAGCACTGCTGCTTAAAAGGAAACTAATATAAGTCAGCAGAGGAGACAACTCACATCAGAACTGTAGGGGGCTGGGGAGATAGTTCAGTGGCATGGGCAAGCTCAAGGTCCAGAGTTTGGTCCCTGATACCAAAAAAAAAAAAAAAAAAAAAAATCAAAACTGCTTCTGAATCAGATGAAATTACAGGCATGATGCTCTGATGGGGAAAAAAAAACAAAAACAAAAAAAAAACCTGGCCCAGTTTAATTACCCATTCACCTAGTGAAGGACATCTAGCTTTCTTCAAAATTTTGGCAATTACGACTATGATGCGATGTCATAATTGCCAAAACTACCTTCCTTCTGTTTTGGCCAGAGACACATGTGGCGATTTTTGGGAGGGATGCTCAGAGCTGGCAGAACTGGGACAAGCCTCTTTCGACCTGTTTTCCCACTTTGCATGTGATGGGTGGAGCTTCAGCAGCCATTGAGGGTCTTGTGAGGCTCCTAACAGCTGCAGGCATGGACTAGGACAGCGGAGCAGCACGGCGGCAGAGGGCTTGGGCCCTAGAGATAGCATGGAGCCACCTTGGCAGCCGTGCCGTCTCTAACCCTATCTGTTGAGAGGAAGAGTTCTACAGTCTCTTTTTACTTTGAAGCTCTATGCCGAACTTGTAATTACTGTGAGGGTTCAGTCATCTTCCCACACTGGCAGCCTGAGACACTATCAGCACATCGTACCCCAGGAAGCTACCAACAAGAAAGCCATGTTTACGATCTGCCTATGTGCTTGGGAGCTGTTGCCTTTAACCTCCATACTCTCAATATTCTTACACTATTAACATGCTGTTACTGACAAAGAGATAAGGACCTTCTTTCCAAGGAGACTTTATTGTGACCTTCAATAAATTCCAAAACAAGCAATATTCAAAAACTGCATCTCTAATATTTTTAAAGTCTGATTTCTTTCACTGGACATTTAATGCGAAGCATCTATGCAGCAATGTACCAGCACTGGAGTTATCAAGACAGACTCTTGCTACTTGGATTCACAGTGCACTCAAAATGAGTCACGAAATCACTTCCATGGTCTACATAAAACTTAGTTTTGCAATGTGAACCGAGATATGGTGGGGATGGGGACAGAAAATGTAAAGGGACACAAGGACAAGCACTACAGTAACCAAAAAAAATTAACTTTGCTTTCCAAAATGCTTTGTACAGGAGTATGGAGGTAAAGCTGGAAGGCGGGTGTGTGTGTATGTGTGTATGCAGTCAGTGGGGAAAATGAGTCTGTTGCTACAGTACCTAAAATATCAACCTCCTATTGTTTTGCATCCGTCTCTGCGGACGCTTGACTGCCTCTCTCAGAGGCCTCACCGAGCACAAGTTACGTGGAGATACACACCATGCAATTATCACATTAAAGCCTCTTCCAAGTCCTATAGTGAGGGCTGTTAGCTTGCTTTGATTGCACTGGACTCTACTGTTGTCCAAGGTGAACTTCAAAGAACAAAGAACAGAGGTAAATGGCTTCCAACGTGGCCCTAGAGCATTTGCTGACACTAACTGACCAGAGACTTCTCCTGGGATGCTTTCTTCTTCTCTCTGTTCCTTCTGCCGTTCCATAAAAGAGAGCACTCTTCAAGCCAGTCTGCCTCTGTGGTGATGTCGCTGATGCTGAAAGAGACCTGACTTTTGTCGGAAGGCATCTCCACACTCAGAACACTTGTACGGCTTTTCCTCATTATAGATTCGTATGTGCTGATCGAGGTGTGAGTTTAGTCGGAAGGCTTTCTGGCATACTTTACATTTGAATGGTTTTTCCCCAGTGTGAATCCTGTGATGGTGAATGAGGTCTGAAGTCAGGCTGAAGGCTTTGCCACACTCGTTACACCGGTGGCTCTTGGAGTGACTATGGATTCTCTGATGGTGTGTGAGAAGCAGGGCCTGGCTAAAGGTTTTCCCACACTCTTTGCACTCACAGGGTTCCTCTTGACTGTGAATTCTATGGTGTCGATTCAGGTGAGAGCTACGCCTGAAGCTCTTCCCACAGTGGATGCACAGAAAAGGTTTCTCTCCAGTATGGACCCTCAGGTGCTCCAGGAGGCCTGCATTCTGACTGAAGACCTTCCCACACTCTTTGCACTGATAAGGCTTCTCACCAAGGTGGATTTTCTGATGTCTGACAAGGTGTGAACTCCTCTGAAAGACTTTCCCACACTCGTGGCACTGATGGCCTCTCTCTCTGGAGAGGGGTTTCTGATGCCCAGGAAGTGCAGGATCTTGGCACACTCCCGAGTCACACAGATTTCCTCCTGTATGTGTGCTTCTGCATTCTGTCAAGTCTGAATGCGGGGGCTTGCCCTGCTGCCTTTCCAAGGTAGAATCCTCGTAGTGAGCCTCTCTGGGTTCAGCTTTCTTCCGGGGTGACTCCTCTGTTTCACACGAGTCTGTTATTACAAGCTTTCCACACTCAATCTGTATCTCCTCATCTGAAAAATTAAATGTGTATCACTTGTTACTTGTGGTTTTGGTGTTTGGGGAAGGAACCTGCAACTACATGGAAAAATATGTAAATAAAGTCAAGCAAGTAAAGTAAAACTACTACTGTTGCTTATATTTGTATAGTATATACCTAGAATTATACACAAGACATGGTTAACAGTGATTGCTTTGTGGGAAGGTTGGGGTTGTACTTGAAGATGAATTAACTTATTTTTTCAGATAGGGTCTTGCTATATAGAGCAGGCTGGTGTTAAACTATGTAGTCACGGCTGGCCTGGAGCCTATGGCAAACCTCCTGCCTCAGTTTCCCGAGTGCTGGGATTATAGGCATGTGCCACTCGGCTCTGACTTTTCTTTTTTGTGGAAGCGGAGATTGAACTCAGGCCCTTGCGCTTGTCAGGGAAGCGCTTTTTCTACTGAGCCATTTCCCTGGCCCCCTGACTTATTTTCAATGGCTGAAGTTTTACCATATGATACATCACCCACAGAGGAGCGCTAGGCAAGCAAACCAACTGTATTGAAGGGCATGACTATAAATTTTGAAAATAATTTGTCACATGAAAAATAAAAAGCTATGGCCATTGAGGACCCTTGGATCAATAACGGACTTTAAGAGTGAAAACACGTTGACATGGTACAAATTTTTTATAACTGATATCTATGTGATCCTAGACAAGTAACAAGTGTCTGTTTCTTCAGTGTACCTAAAACGCAGGACAAGAAGACCTTGAGGGTAGCATATTCACAAACATGCCTTGGCCTCTGTCCTGACCTTTCTGGTCTGGATCAAGAGACCTTTGCCTGCTCAGTGCAGTAATGATTTATTAAAATCTGTCTTCCTTGATCACAGCCTGAACTCCTCAGGAGACTGTACGCATATGCAGGGTAACTTTATTTCCTCTGGCGCAGTTCCTGGTACATAAACAAAAGTAGACATTAAACAACTGTTGACGACTACATGGCTTTCATCTAAAGTGTGACATTACTTGATAATGAAAAAAAGGTGCTCAGACACAGGGGCAGAGGGTAAGATGAATGGTCTTTTGGGTTAAGTGTTTTAAAGCCCAAAGGATAACAAGGGTGCAATGCTAGAAGGAAACAGCAACGGGGGAAGTGGGTAGAAGAACCCAAAGAGGACACTCGAAGCAGCGCTAATACACTAAAGGTCACGATGAGCAACAATGTGCCGCAGGGAGCACCCTCTGTGATGGGACGAGGCAGTCTAGAGCAGAAGTGAGGAACCAAGGGAGGAATCAAACTGACAGTGACATACACCGAAAAGGAAGAAGCATCGAAACCCAAAACTAACCTTCACTTTGTATAAGGTAACATCTTCATCAGATCCACAGCTAAGGAACATTTGCAAGAAGTACTGTACAGGCAATGTATTAATTATTATAACCGTCTTGCTAACCTGATTTAAAACTGCTTCACTGCTATTTTATCTTCCTTTTCTCATTAAAATGAATTTTTTTAAAAAAGAAGATGTCCTGCAAGTATTACATTGACTCTGCAAAGCTGTTCAGCAAAGGGAGGCCCCTTTTTGGACAGCAACGTGACTCAGAAGGCTCCCCACAGAAGCAGGCCTTTGCCATAGACTGCAGTGCCCAAGAAAGTCACCAATAGGTAAAGGACTGTGTCATGGCTTGGACTTTATTTTATTTTTAATTTTTTTTTGGCAGAACCAGGGATTGGACTCAGGCCCTTGTGCCTGCCAGGCAAGCGCTTATTCTACTGAGCCATCTCCCCGGCCCCATGGCTTGGATTTTAAAAGTCCCCAAAACCCTCATGTGTTGAAAGTTCGTTTGCCAGCTAAAGGCGTTAATGGGAGGTGGTAGAAACCTCAAGAGAAGAGGCTGGTTGGAAGAGACCACCAGGGGCGTCCTGAGGGGCGCACTTCGCTCCTGCTTCTCCCCACCCTGTGGCCGCTCCTCCACGAGGGAAGCAGCCTCCCTCTGCCACATGCCACAGCCACCCTGGTCTGCCTCCCCCCAGTCTGGCAATGAATTTTTTAAACGATGGAGAAAGAGGTACCTGAAGTACCAAGATGACATTAAAGCAGAGAAAGGATGAAGATGAGAGCAAGAAGCAGGTATTGTACCAGACCATAAGGAAGAAAAGAAACGTGGAAGGAACAGAAAGTGAAAAGATAACTTTCAGGTCGGGCTCCGCCATGGCGTACCGGGGTCAGGGCCAGAAAGTCCAGAGGGTGATGGTGCAGCCCATCAACCTCATCTTCAGATGCTTGCAGAATAGATCCCGGATCCAGGGGTGGCTGTATGAGCAAGTGAACATGCGGACAGAGGGCTGTGTTATTGGTTTTGATGAGTACATGAACCTTGTATTAGATGCTGCAGAAGAAATTCATTCTAAAACAAAGTCAAGAAAACAACTGGGTCGGATCATGCTGAGATAACATTACTCTGCTACAAAGTGTCTCCAACTAGAAATGATCAATGAATTCAAACAGGAAGTGAGGCAGTGGTAATTATGATGATATGTAAAAAGGCAGTTGTTTAAGTGGTTTGCCCTGCGAGTGTTTGTAAAACATGTGTTCATTTTGTTTTGACTACTCTTATGTTTTTACTGAAGGCCAATAAATGTAGTTGTTTTTATTAAAAAAACCCCAAAAAAACAAAGATAACTTTCAGTGTAAAAGGAATTACAGAACATAAGTAAGTAAGTATTAAAAACTGAAGGATAGTTAGAAATAAGAAACCATGTCATTTAAGAAAGTATTAGTAGCGAAACGTGCAGCCGAGCGTCTCTGCCTGCGGTGAGCGAGCAGGCCTACTCCTTTTCCTCTCTATTAGTACACGCTGTTTTTTTCTGCTGGCACCAGGAATCCAACTAATGACCTCAAGTTTGCCAGGCTGGCCCTGTGCGGCTGAGCCACATCCCAGGCCCTAGTGTGCATGGTTAAGCAGAATACTGGCTCTCACTAGGGAATTTGTATACATGGACATTACATACTTTTGTTCTAACCATCTCCTTTAGGACTTTTTTTTTTTTTTCTTTTTGTGGAACCGGGGCTTGAACTCAGAGCCTGGTGCTGGCCAGGCAAGTGCTCATTCTACGGAGCCATCTCCTGGCCCTAGCTTTTAAACTTCTCCCTGCAGTAAAGGGAAGACAAGTACAGCGAAGGTTCAGTCACCTTTCCTTCATGTTGGCTGAATGAAAAGGTCTGGAGTGGGCTGGTGAGAGGGCTCAGTGTTCTAAGGCACCTACGTGGAACAAGCTTGGCAAAGCACAGGGACCGCGGTTCAATGCCCCAGCACATCATGCCAGCCAGCCCCGCCCCCTGGTGGGCTGAGCTGGCCACACACACACACACACACATAAATAAATTTTAAAAATAAAGAAACAAATTAAAAAAAAAAAAGGTCTGGAGTGCTGGATACCTTTAGACTGCAGTGCTCACTAGACGCCTGTTCTCCTTCCATTTTTGTGAAACTCACTGAGTAGTACAAAGAGTACATTTCTACCAATGTAAGGGATACTTCAAAAAAACGCAACCCTAATGCAAAACACAGAGCAGCAAGCATGCTGAGCAGAGCCTCAGAGGGCCGCACACCGCCTCCCGCCCTTGAGTTCAGAGGCAGTCCGGCTCTTACCCTCTTCTTCCTTAGGCTCCTGACCTCCGTACTCAGGCAGGACCTGCCGCGCCTGCACTGCTCTCAGAGGGGCTGGTGCTTCCACAAGCACTGACTGCTTCCTTCTGCGGTCTGGGCCCTACAGACAAGGACAGACACCCATAGGTTCAGCTCAGCGCTGGGGAGGAAACAAAGAAATCCCAAAAGGTGTTGTTGGTGGGTAGGGAATTCTGAGCACATTTACCTTCTCCCAGAAGAGGATAGTGAGGTGGAGGACAGACCCAGACAGGAAAGAAACAGAAGGAAAGCTTAGCAATTCTCTACCCACTGCCGCACTCATGTCCACAGGTCTGGACAGAATCTCAATTCCTGCCGAAGAGTATATCTGACCTTTCCCTCCTGCTGTCCTTGTTCTCCACGCTCCAGCTGCAAGTCCTCCAGCACCATCACCACCTCGTCCCCGCTCTCAGGATGCTTCTCCTGCACACGGGCCTGCAGCTCTCCGGGCAGGATGGCCAGGAACTGCTCCAGCACCAGCAGCTCCAGGATCTGCTCCTTGCTGCGGGTCTCGGGCCGCAGCCACTGGCGGCAGAGCTCGCGGAGCCGGCGCAGCGCCTCCCGGGGCCCTGCAGTTTCTTCATAGCGCAGCTGCCTGAATTGCTTGCACAGTGGCTCCTGTCCAAGGCCTTTGTGGTTTCCTTGCAGCTGGAATCCCTGTTCCTAAGTATAGTTGTAACAAGGATTTAAAGGCTGCTTTTGCTAAAAGTGCTGAGTCTTTTCTAGGACCCAACACTGCCTCTTTTGCTACTTCAAACTGAGAGTCTGATTTCTTCTCAACTCTACACACTGTTGCTGAATCATTCAAGGAGTGTCTGTCTAAACCCTGTCACACCAGGCCAATCAGCCTTGAGTTTCTCCAGCCTCTATGGGCCCCCTTCATGGCTAAAAACACCAAGCTAAGATTCCAGGAACAGTGAGTCCGGAAGGCAGGGCACCCCATGATGGGCACTAACTCTGCCCCCAGCCAGGAGGGACTGCTGCACGATGGAAACCCAGACATTCTCCCAATCAAGGCGGCCCCCTTCCCCAAGGAGGAGCAGTCATCCCCTAACAGGGATTAGCGGCCTCCTCAAGAAATGATTTGCCTGCAGCCAGCAAAATGCTGCTGCAGACCCAGAACCAAGATAATGATTGATCGGATGAGTCTGACCCCACCGCTTGGATGCACCACTTCTTGTCCCCATGTTTGTCCTTGCTTGTATAATGCTGAAGCTCTTATCAGAGCTTCAAAGACTTAACATACAGGTCTTCATGTTTCTTCCCGAAGTAGCCTCTGTGAACAAAAATCCCTAACTTGCTTTACCTCCGCTGTCTTTCTCTGATTGGACTCTCAAGGTGAAGGGCTGCCAAATCCAGCCTGCTGGGACCCGAGTCAGGCCTCTGGCCTAGGACCACAGTAGCACACTCATTTTCATTCATGACCAGGGGCCCCGCTCAGATTCAAGGAGCCAGGGAATGGACACTCACCAGCACGGTAGCCATTCCCAGCTCCAGGCTGGTCTCCCTGCTTCAGAGAACTTTCTCCTGGCTGTATCCTGAAGGATGTACCTGAAAATACAGTAACAAAAATCATATAATAACAAGGGTGCCTAACATTAAGTAACCCTTATAGCCCAGTGACCTGTGAGCCATGTATGCTGGCAGAGTGCACTGAAGCACCTGCTTCTCCAGAGAAGGTCACAAGTCTTCCTGGAGGTGAGAGACACTCGGCTGAGAAGGGAAAGACAGGAATTTTCAGAAGTTGAACACAGAAAGGCTGGGCCTTCAACACGGTAGCTGTTACGGCCGGAAAAACATTACAGAGGGCTGGGAACCTGGGAAACACCTGTATGTAAGTTGAAGAACTGAAAAGGAACTGGAGAGGTGGAGGAGAACACAGACCCAGAAGGCCAAGGAGGTCTATATTTCCAAGTGTGGTGTGGTAGAAAACACCAGGCCTCAGGCATGTCTGGGTTCCAAAATAGCCCTGTCACTCATAAGCCGTATCACCTTAGGTTCCCACAGCCCTACCTCACTCAGTTTTAAGATGAAGATAAACCCAAATCACAGAGACTTTGAATAAATGTATAATTGTTACAGATAGGAAGAAATCACAGATTTGCTAAGTAGAATAAAGAGGCAGTGGTCAAGAATGCAACGCTACAAAAAAAAAAAAAAAGAATGTAACACTCCAAGAGGTTGAATGACCTAAAACTTGTTGACATATGTACTTAATTAGAAACACAAATACCACTGGTGATCTCTGTGGGGACAATCAGTATCGGAATGGACAGAACAGCCTGCTCACCATAGGAAATAAGAAAGTGGGAAGAACAAAAAAAAAAATGACACTTTCAGAAAGACACTGGATGTGAAGATAAAAAAAGAACACACTAGGAAGAGTAATGTAGAAAATACATGTATTTGTGACTTACCACCTTTATACTAGTGACTTACTTTTGAAGACAGACAGCTCAAGTGCCAGACTTATAATCCCTTCTGCCTATCTGATACCTGGAAACTCTACAGAACGCAACATGTCAAAGACAAACTCAGAAAACAGGCCATCATCCCTTGGAGTAGGCCTCCGGTATTCTAGATTTGGGCCACTCTTGCGACTCCAAAACAGTGCGACAGTATCTGCCAATAGCTATCATGTGCCTTTCAAACAGCATGCATGGGGTGCTCATGGATGGAAGGCTCACTCAAGTAGCAGCTGTGCCTGGCCAAGCCCCAAGCACCTCGCCATTATGTACTTGTGGATGCACACAACGAGCAGCCCCAGCGGATGCTTTTCTGGTGAGACTGGAAACTGAATCCAGGGCCCTCACACTAATCTATATCTCAAGCACTGTTTCTTAATTTTGATATAGTGACTATGCTGCCCAGACTAGCCTCAAATCTGTGACTCTCCTGCTTCAGCCTTAGCAGCTGCAGGGATTACAAGTGTGCCCTATCTGATATTTTTGTCAAAAAAGGAATGACGCTAGGTGTAGTTGTGCACACCTGTAGTTGCAGCACTTGGGAAGCTGAGGCGGAAGGAAAGCTAATTTGAGGCCAGCCTGAAAGACATCGTGAGACCTATCTAATACCTCTTAAAGACTTAAAATTTTAAGTCAAATGCTAGTGTCTTTATTATTACACTGCCATGGTGGAATTTGTATTACTAGTCTTAAAGTAAATGGAAAATTGTAAGAAATTTATGATTATTAGCCAGAAAATAGAAATTTAGAATTGTGATACACAATTTTATGTTTCAGCTCTGGACCCTAAGTACCTATATAGCATATTTGATCAAACATTATTCTGGATGTTGGCATGCTTTTCGATAACAGTAACATTTAAATCAACACACTATAGACCGACTGGTGAAATGTATAGTGTTGTGGGTTTCCTGTAATCAGCTGAAGGTCTAGTTAGAATAAAAAGGTTAACTATTGCAAGTAAGAGAAGACTTCCTGTCTGAAGACTTAGGAGTTGAAGTAACAGCTTTATCACCATGCCTTCAAACTTGAACTGGGTAATAAACCCACTGGCCTTAGACTAACTACATCATCCAGCTTCAAAGACTTATGCTTCAATGAGAACTAAAGCATTTGCTCTCTGGGGTCTTAAGTTTGGCGCCTCATCCTGAAGATCTTGGGACTTGTCATCTTCCACAATCACATAAGTCAATTCTTATGTGATTATGGGGCTTTCTGGCTATCAGTCCATAGACTGACCAATATAAACACAGTTCTATCTCCAGAGGACCTTGACTAATACAACGGTATACTGTGTGACGCTGAACTAGGGGTGGCTGACTTCTGTGCCATTAAAGACCAACGCAATGTGTAATACAGTAAGCTGTCTTCTGGGAGTGCTCCATTTGCCTAGCTGTCTGAGCCAGAAACTGACCATTTCCTCCTCTTTTCATATTTCATGCACCCCATCAATCCCAAATACAATTGACTTTACTGCTTAAATATCCCTCCATCCCTATCACCTCTGCCTCCATCCTCTACTCTCTACTGCAACTGGTCTTCCTATTGCACGAATCTATGTTACACATTACAATAATGGTCTTTCTAATGGGAAAATGAGAAATCACATCTCTGCTGTGTCTATTACATGTAATGGTTCGCCATCACCCTTAAGTTCCAGTACAACACATTTCATGTGCTCCACACTTTTCATATAACCTAATCAACTACTTTCAGTTTCTCAAACTTGCAGTACCCTTTCTCGCTCCTGGACTCTCTCTCTCTCTTGTTAGTGCCCACTCACACTTCACTTCTCAGCACTGCCACTCCATCTGCTTTCCACATATTCATTCATTAATCTTCACAACGCCCTCTAGAGAACTGTCTTCAATTTCACTGTACAGAGAAGGGATCAGACACGCACAGTTCATATGAATGTACACAAGGTACTAAAGACCCCAGATCTCTCATCCAATCAATCTCTCTCGCATCCGGGGCGTTCTGGGGTGTCTCTTTGCCTTCTTTTATTTAAGAAGTCTGCAACCGATCCAGGAGTAAAGCAGGACAATAATCCGATCAAACGAACCACATCTACCACACCACATGCCTAACACTGCCTTTAGCTCCCAGAACGTCCTCGTGAGGACTTCCCAGCTACAGAAGATGTGTTGTAAACGTTTTTCTCTGTCCTCCAAAACACCAAGGAAAGACCCGCTTTCTTACACAACACAGAGCCTTTCCACCCGATGCCCTCACGCAGAATCCGCCTGCAAGCGCCACCGCCCCCGTCCGCCCAGCCCCCGGCCTGCGGGCCTGCGCCCTCGCCGCTTCTGCACCCCCACCGCCACCCAGCCGAGCACCGGGGCTTGCCCTCCGCGCGCCACCGCCTCAGGGCGGCCCACCTCCACGGGCGGCGCGCACCTTGAAATCCGCCCGCGCGCACCGGCGGCTTCCCTCGCGGAAGGCCCTTCTGCACCCCAGAACCGGCCTCGCTCCAGGCCCGCGGCTGCCCTGTGACTCCAACTCAAGCCCAAGCCCCCGCTGAGGCAACCCACCTTGGGGTCCGGAGAGCGAACGCTCGCCGCTCGGCAGCACCTGGCTCGCGTTCCCTTCTTGTCTAGGACCCTGGAAGAGCGCAACTCGATGGTGCCTGCTTCCGCCCGCGGAGGGGCGTGACGGCCACGCCCACTTAGGCGGGGCATGCGCACCTGCGCTTGTGTGGGGCGTTTTGTTGCTGTTACTGTTTTCATAAGCTGATATTTATTTTATCCATGTGAGATGTGTTTCACGGGTAGTTAGACAATAGCAGTCTCGAGGGACAAAAGTGAGTGTGTGGATTCAAGGCGTAACACCCTACATTTAAGTTAAATTAAATTCCATCTACACTTCTGCACTGCCCATGTATCTTTTCGTGTTTTGATTTTTAAGACAGGGTATCACTATGTAATTGAGACTGCATTGGATTCACTGTGTATCTGAGGCTGGCTGCGAACTCGCAGCCACCCTCCTGTGACGTCCTCTGGAATGTGCCACCATGCCAAGCTTTTCGTCTTACCAAACTTTTTTCTTACCACAGTTGATTTTGGATAATTTGATAAATTCCAGTGATCTGTATGTTCTCACCAGGTCCATTCACTGGATATTGTTGTGCTTTGGGTCTAGACACCCTCCCAAAGCCTCATGCTGTCATGGGTGGCCTCTTGTGGTCCAATGCTGAATTATGGGTAAGTGCTGACCGCCCTGGTGCTGGTGGCCTGCACACCATCTAAAGGCACAGGCAGGAGGAGGCTTGCTCTCTGTGCCCGGCCCATTTGCTCTCGTTGCATTTGTTGCTTGCGCAGCCATGATCTGTCGCCCTCTGGCATGCCTTGGAGCCAGCCAAGTATGGGCTGAAAACTCCACAAAGTGTGAGCTAGATAAACCTTTCCTTCCTTAATTCTGGGCGCCAAGTATTCGGTTTCAGCAACAAGAGAAAAGTAACCAAGACAGATATTCAAAAAAAGCACTTCCTAGGAGGCCGGACAAATAGCTCAGCGCATTAAAGCGCCAGCGTAGGCAGACTAGTGGCCTGGCCTTTTCGATCCCTGGCGTCCCCCCCTGCTCCCTCCAGCGTGGGGGCGCGCTGAGACAGAGATTGAGACTGAGCGAGGTGGCGTGCGCCTGTAATACCAGCTCTTCCTAGGCTGAACACAGGAGGATCACTAGGAGTCCGAGCTATGTAGTGAAACCCTGTAGACCCTGTCCTAAAATACAAAAAATAAGCACTTCCTTTTGCACATTATCTGTAGAGGCACTGTTGCGTTGTAAGTCATGCAATCACGCATAAGCTTTACACATCTTACGTTTTTGTAATGATGCTTTCTGAACAACTTCTACCCTCACAGCCAGGTCTCATTCATTACTATAAAATTTGAAACAGAAAATTATATGAACAGTATTCTAAACCAAAATTATACACATGAATCCAGTAGACTTAACCCAGTTAAATATTAGGCTAAGTTAAATATAATGGCTAAGCCATCATGTTAATGGGCTGATCATAATTTTTACAAATGCACAAAGGTCATCTAATAAATAAGAACAGGCATGGTGACACACACATCACAGCACCCGGGCGGGGGGGGGGCTGAGGCAGAAGGATCATGATGAGCTCAAGGCCAGCCCCAGCTACATAGTAAATTCAAGGCCAACATAAACTCCACAGTGAGACCCTGTCTCAAAAAACAAAGCAAGAACGCAAAAAACTCACTATGCATTTCTGACTGAAAGGGGTAAAATGCCAATAACATGACTAAATAAGTACTTCATTTATAAAGAAAAAAGACCCCACCTCAAACCTAAACCTTTCCTTGTGGTGAATCTTAGAAGCACCTCTATAAATATCTGCTTGAACTTGTGCTGCCTTCTGGCTTGAATCCTGAGTGTCCCCCTTTCACTGTCAGCCCAGGACAACGCTAGGATGCTCTGAAGCCTGTAAGAGGCCGGGCCTCTCGTTTCCTGGTCATGGGGCAAACAGACCTCTTTTGCTATCCATTCCTTTGCAAGACCAGCATTTTGTTATGTGATTTTTCTTCCATTTTACAATCCATGACATGATTTGGGCAAAACTACTTCAAAGGAAAAGTTTTCATCTTTCTACCAAGTTCTCTAAGACAAAGATGAAACACAAATTACAACTTTCAAAACTTCTTTTAAGGCGGATTTACTGGCCAAACCCCTCTCCATGGTAGGCATAAGTGCCACAGAAGAGCTATTGAGTAGTACTACAGGTACTCTTTGTTGCACTGTGTATATTTTTTTTAACTTTTGAAAAGAAATCCACCAATCTTACCTCAGCTTATTTAGAACCCATTCAGCTGCACATTTCCCCCAAGAAAAACAAAGATACTTGTTTGGTTAATATTGAGGAATAATTGTAGGATTTATGGGGCCAATATAATCAGAAAACCAATTCCAAATGCAAATAACAGTGGAAAATATTTGTAAGAATGTGATATAGATCTAGCTTTTGTTATCTGAAGCTTTTATAAGCAATAAGGAAAAAACCTGGGCTGGGAAGGTAGCTCAGTGGTCTAAGCACCTGCTTGCCAAGTGCAAGGACCCGGGTTCAATCCCTGGTACCACATGCCTTGTCAGCAGCAAAACCCTGGTGCCCCATGCCAACCTCTGAAACTGGGCGTGGTGGTGCACGTCTGCAATCCCAGCACAGGGGAGGCTGGTACAGGAGGAGCACTATGAGTCTGAGCTGTGTAGCAAGACCCAGTACCAAATAAATAAATAGGAAAAAAACCTTACAAGAATTGATGCTATGGCTTGGGTTTAGATGTCCCTGAAAGTCTTATGCTGTCATGATTGAGGCTTTTTCTGAGGAGGTTGGTTCTGGAGTGACAAGACACTGGGATTGATTCATGGTGCAATGCTAGGATCAGTGACGCTAGGATTCATTCAGGCTGAGTCCTACCTGCCCTAAGTAGCGTGGATAAGAGATAAGGGATAGAAAGAATTGCCATCATCCCTTGTGGCTTTGCCACACTCTGCCCCCCATGAACTGCTTCTCCTCTGTGATGCCACCGCACTTCGGAGCCCGCCAATTATGGGCTGAAACCTCCACACACTGTGAGCTAAATAAACCCTTTCCTTCCTCATCTTTGGCCATTGGGTATTTTGTCTCAGGATGAGAAAAATGACTAAGACATTGATAAAACATATAATGTAACTCGCAATAAAAAAAAAATTGCAAAAACTTCTCTGGCAAGTGCCAGGGTCTCTGTTCAATCTCTGGTTCCGAAAAAAAAATACAAAAACACTCATAATTACACAAAAGACATTCTACCTTAAAGAAATGAAAATAATGGAATGCCTTTTCACCTAACATGTTACAAAGATAACAAACATTTTGAAAGTACAATATTGGTGACCTTGATGGTCTGCATATTAGTGCTTATTTTATTAGCAAGGTAAGGTGACATCAAAATTTAAAAGCACAATGAGTTTACATGTGACATTCTTATGCTTTTCCTGAAAATCATATAAAGACTCCTCTTACAATTCACTGTATTTCCTCACTGTTAGTTGTAATTATTTAAGTTTTTAGAGTTTATCTCCTCCAGGAGAATTACAGTTTTACGATGGCAGGGACCACGACTAATTTGTTATTTCCAATACTACTACAGTGCCCAACACACACAAAACACATATGAAACTTTTTTTTCGTGGAACCGGGGATTGAACTCAGGCCTTGCACTTGCCAGGCAAGCGCTTATTGTACTGAGCCATCTCCCGGACCCCAAATGTTTTCCTCTTGGCTCAGTATTTCTTTCTTTTATTATTTGGTTCAGTATTTCTTCAAGGTGATCATTTCTAGCTGACTCAAAGGATTCTTTTTGACTCACTAATTTTATTTCAGATGAATACCCACAAAGGTTTTAAAAACAGGGTTGTTTTAGCCAAATATAGGAATTATCTTAAACATTTATTAAAATGTGTTCCTTCCATATCATTACAAAGAATGTGACAGATTTCTCTGCCCTAATATAAAACATCTCCAAGATAACAGTGCTCAGTGGGAAAAAGCTGTCCCAATCCTTATGCATAGTGTGGCAGTTTATTACATTGGAAACATGCATATGTCACAGTATGGCTTTCTTCAGGGCTCTCCAACATCCTTTAGGAAAAGCCTCAAGATGATATGGTCCCATGTTAGCCATGTGACACACTGGGACAAAGGTGTTCTTTTACATTAGCCTGGCCTACCAGATTCTAGAACCCCATTTCTCAACTTTAGCTCTGTGAGGCTTACCACAGAGGTATTGTAGAGGATTATCCAGTGAGATGCTGTCATATGGTTAGTGTTGAACTAAGGCCTCAGGGCCAGTGAGTTTTCAGGCAAATATCACTAAATGAAAATAAAGGCCTTACAACAGACCTTAAAAGGCACATTCACACGGTCCTTAGGATCAGTGAACCTGATCCTAAGTGAACTCTCTTGTTCACGTAGGTCCTTCCGGTCTAACAGTCATATCTCTGCCAGCTAGCTCTTCCTTTTACATTCTTTTTTTTTTTTT